AAGCACAAGCTGGAATTAAGACTGTCGGGAGAAATATAAATAACCTCAGATGTGCTGATGACACCAGCCTTATGGCAGAAAGTGAAGTGAAACTAAAGAGTCTCTTGATGAAAGTGAAAGAGGAGAGTGAAAACATTGGCTTAAAACTCAGCATTCAGAAAACTAAGATCGTGGCATCCGGTCCCATCACTTCATGGCAAATAGATGGGGAAACAATGAAAACAGTAGTAGACTATTTGGCGGGGGGTGGGGGGTGTGTGGTCCAAAATCACTGCTGATGGTGACTGCAACCATGGAATTAAAAGATGCTTGCTCCTTGGAAGAAAAGTTATGACCAACCTAGAAAGCATATTAAAAAGCAGAGACATTACCTTGCTAACAAAGATTCATCTAGTCAAAGCTATGGTTTTTCCAATAGTCATGTATGCATGTGAGAGTTGGACTATAAAGAAAGCTAAGCACCAAAGATTGATGCTTTTGAACTCTGGTGTTGGAGAAGACTCTGGAGAGTCCCTTGAACAGCAAGGAGATCCAATCTGTCCATCCTAGAGGAAATCAGTCCTGAATATTCACTGGAAGGACTGATGCTAAGGCTGAAACTCCAATACTTTGGCACCTGGTGCAATGAACTCACTCATTTGAAAAGACCCTGATGCTGGGAAAAACTGAAGGTGGGAGAATAAAGGAACAACAGAGGATGAGATGGTTGGGTGGCATCACTGGCTCAATGGACATGAGCTTGAATAAACTCCGGGAGTTTGCGATGGACAGGGAAGCCTGGCGTGCTGCAGTCCATGGGATCGCAAAGTCAGACAAGACTGAGCGACTGAACTGAACTGATAGAGGTAGAAAAGATGTTAACAACTTCAGAAATGTATGCAGCACCTTTATATCCAAAAAAGAAAAAAGAAATACAACAAAAATGAAAGCAGATTTTTTCCCAAGAAGCTCTAATGAAATGTAGCCTTGATCACCAAAAGGCTGACTCTTACCTCTGAAGTTGTTCAGCATGTGTAGGAATCCAGAGACCGGCCAGGAAGGGAGCTCTGGGTTCACGGGCTGAGGCTTCTGCATCTGTGCCAAGTCAGCCCTATAACAAAGAACATCGGTTCCATGTCAAGACCAATGGCTAATCACATGAGCATTGCAAACAGCAGACTTCACTACAGGATCTGATATGTTCTCAGGATTCTCCTACTGTTGGTGACTTGCTTATACAATATATTCTACTCATTTGAGAATATAAAAATGTTGCCATATATTTTACTAAATATAAATTATATCAAATTTCATTTTCCCCATTTTTCTCAGACAATATTCCAAATTTGCACTCACTAAACTTCATTCCCTTCCTCAATTCCATCAATTCCAAGATCCTGGGCATTTTACAGAGAGCAAAAAATTCAGGCTAAGCCTTTGAGACTTCACTCACAAAGTAGCCGTCAAGGATGCATTCAGTGTCTAAACAGAAGTGCTCACTGACCAGACTTGTTTGCTCTTGTCAGTCTAGCAAGGTGACCCAGGTCCAACCTGGCTGCCCTGATCCAGAACGGCTCACTTCCCAGTGGGCAGCAGAAAGCCACTCCCTGTGAGGTCCTGCCTGCAGGGGGCTTGCTGTGATGGAACAGGCTGAGTCACTGCTACCCAGCATTAACAAAATCACAGTCTCTCTTTTCATGGTAGGGAGTGTGCCTCTTTCATGCCTTTTTCACCTTTCAACTCACTAGGATAGGTGCTTCCTCTGTGATGTCTTAGAAAAATCCCTCACTAAGTTTATTGTCGTCAGGCTGGAGAGAATGGGTCGAGTGGTGGAATAAAGCCCAGAATGTCAGCAGGTTTTCAGACATATTCGATTTCAGTCATATGAAAAGGAAACTACTGAGACCAAGGGTCAGAAGCCCTGGAAATTCTTTTGAAATAAAATAGAAAATAGCCAAAAAGACAATGTTGGTAATCCATATGCTAGGGTTCTATACCTATGGATTCACACATGGATTCATCTGTACATTCTGGGCTATGTATTTGCTCATTTATCCCTTTATTTCACAATAGGATCCGAGCTACTGTTCTAACTGTACTTCATATACAGTGGGTACCAGTCAATCCCAAATTCCCAGTGTAAACTTCCTTCCCCTTTGCCTTTGTTCTGAGTGAAAAAATTCACAGAAAATTCCAGAAACTTCCAAAAATATAAAAATTGAAAATGCCACACACCAGGGAATGACTTATGCAGCATTTACTTTACACTGTTTATGTTAGTTGTAAAGTTGTCTTGAGATGACAAAGTGTACAGGAGCATGCGTATTAGTTATCTGAGAATACTATGGCATTATGTCTAAAGGATCCTGTATCCTGGGATTTAGATATGGGGGAGGACCTGAAATCAATCCCCATGTCCCAAGCAAGAACTGTGGGTCCACCTCATCAAAAAGACAAAAATATTTCAGAAATCAAAAAATGTCAGTGTATACTCACATTTTCAGCACATCGTCCAAGCCCTGCAAAGGAAAAAAAAAAAAAAAAAAGATCATGTTAATCATTAGGGTTCTGTCCTTTTCCATCTCCTTTCCTATTCCTGTTTCAAAATAAGACATGGTTTTATAATTCTTTTCTAAGCCGCACTCAGAAGCAATCTTCATAACCGACCCTAACCTAGAACATGACGGGCGTCCTCAGGTCTCAGTAAGGAAGGAAAGGGGGCAGGAAGGGGCTGCACATGATGCAGCAACGTCTAGGTTTACAGTGTCACTCACTGCCCGGTGCTGTCGACAAGAAGTGATCTCACCATTTATGGTAACGATTAAAGTAAACCAGACAATTGCATAAAAAGAATTATAGATTGCATTAAAATTGATACCACTTCTAAACATCTTGCCTGTGTGACAGGAAGAACTTCAGTGTCTTCAGGAAGTATGGATAACAAGGGGTGCCAAGGGTTTAAGGGTATGTACACTGAGATTTACTCCAAGAGAATTAACTTTCCCCTGGTCACAGAATCTTGCTGATTGTGTTATCATCTGTCTGGATAGGTAATATTTCAGTGTCATAGCAACTCATCTAGAAGAGTGTTTCTCTCTCTGAGGACTGACCCTCCTTTCTCACCTGGAGCAACTCCACGTCCGGCTTGTGGCACATCTCCATCATCTCTCTGTACATTTCTTTCAGAGTTTCTCTCTGTTGAGTCATTCGGAACACACTCTCCTTGAGTTGTTCACAAATCTCCTTGGCTTCTCTCTCCAGGGCTTCCAGATGCAGTTGCTCCTCCTCCCGGAGCAACAGAAGCATCCTCTGATACTCAAGCTTGATCATCACCTTCCTTAAGGCCACGTAGTCCTACAGAGAGAGTGGATCCAAAGCATTACTTATGTTCACATTCAAAAGAAAACCTCAAATATTATTTCCTTAGTGTCATCAAGGAAGTTCCTGACAAACTGCCACATGCATCAAAGAGTCTTGAATATTTCCTGGTCCTAAGATGCTCTATTTTCCCTCTAGGTACTTCTATATTCCTCTCTTCTACTACAGAGGTGCAGTGTTGTCTTATACTCCACTTCTGAGTTTTATTCAAATCTTCAAAATTTGGCCTAGGAACACTTTTCATGCCGAGGTTTTCCCATGTACTAGGATTCCTTGAACTAGCATGTATTGACGTGTTCCACTTGTGATTACTGATAGGTCCTTGGAAACCACGCCTTTTCAAGGGAAGAGATCAATATCCTTTAATGGGAATGTAAATAGACCTAAAAGCTAGAATTATATCACTGTCTATAGAAATAAATAGGAGCGTTTTTATTCTTACCTTAAATGACCTTGTTTTTTTTAGCTTCCTGGTTCAGAATGATTTTCATATATTCTCTGATTTTCCATAAAGAGCCCATTCTCTTTAGAAGTTTCTCCTGCAAAAATCCCAGGGGATTTAGGCACAGAAGATGACACTGTAGATTTCATCCCCTTATTCGTGAACAAAGGCCCTTGTTGGTTACACAGAAACCTTGAGTTAGAATGTTGTGGTCAGATTTTCCCACAATTATCTGAATCTAACACCAAGATGACAGTGACAAAGTGTATGCTACAGAACTGGGGAAATGTTACAGATCATGAAATCCAATCCCTAAGAAATTGAGACTCACATATTTATATAGGTTGATTAAGAAAGCCTCATGTTCCCATCAGAAGCCTGTGTCCCTGGTGCCACCCTCCCCGGGATGCTGCATTTCCACGCGTGTGGACAACTGGGCAACAACACTGAAAGGACACATTATATGTGAGGATCCACATTCAGAAATCCCACCTCCACTGTCTCCATCCCATCACCATCATAGCATCCTCATTTTTCTCTCTGACTTAGGAGCCTCTAGATCCCAAACTGCTCCAGAGGTATTACCTAGCCGGGACTCCTCAGCAGCCCTGTGTATGGGACTGTGGCTGTGAGCTGCGTGCTCGGGGCGTTCAGAGCAGGGCCCGCAGAGCAGGGTCTGGTCAGCCTCACAGAAGAGGCCTCTGGCTTCCTGGTGTGTCTCACAGATCTGCTCCTCAGAGTGGTGGTCGTGGTCAGCTCTGGCCTGTCTGGCAAGGGAAGCCAGCCTCTTGAGGACAATATTGGTTTTGAAATGGGGCCTCTCTGATATTCCCCTGCACTCAGGGCAGCTCTTTGGAGTCTGGTCTTCTTCCCAGCAAAGGCTCAGACAGGGACGGCAGAAGCTGTGCCCACAGTCTATGGTGACGGGGTCCAGGAAGCAGTTCATGCAGATGGAGCAGGTGAGTTCCTGCTGGAAGGCTTCCAGCTCATCTGAATCCATGTTTCTGAAAATTAAAGAAAGAAATAAAAGAGGGTAAAAGAAAATGTCTTTCTTCTGCCCTCTTCAGGAAAAATAAACCCTTTAGACAAAGTCTTGTCTTGAACTCTAACTCCCCTATTTGCTTACCTCCCCAGAACAAACCTGGAAATGGTGACTATATACACCTTGGATTTGAACTATTATACAAAAGATGAATTACAATAAAGAGTCCTTAGCAACTTTTTTTGTTTAAAATAAACCAGGATTTCAGTCATACTAAAATTATTAAGACATGGAGAAGCTTCAAGTTTAGTGTGTGTGTGCTCAGGCCTGTCTGACTCGTTGCTACCCCATGGACTGTAGCCCACCAGGTTCGTCTGCCCTTGGGATTTCCCAGGCGAGAATCCTGGAAAGAGCTGCCATTCCCTTCTCCAAGGGATCTTCCCAACTCAGTGGCAGAACCCGTTTCCGCATCTTCAGCATTGGCGGGTGGATTCTTTACGACGGAACCATCTGGGAAGCCCCTTAAAGATTAGAACGGAGGTAAGTGTTGGGATGACTTCAGAGCTACTTTATTAGCTGAATCCAACAGAAGCACCCACAGAACCTCAGTCTGTCTCTCTTGATCTCCATGACTCCCTGACTGAAACCCACACTAGCACACCCTTCATTTCACTCCTCATGGCTTCAGCTCCTTCTGTCATCAAAGTGATAGAAGTGCTTTTCTAAAGACAAAAGAATTTGTTTACATAGAACTTAAACTTCATACAATCAGTGTTGGCTTTAATCTGATGTCTTAACCCTAAAGAGTTCAGAGCTTGTTTCCAACTTAAATAACAAAACTGCTCCTTTCAAGACAAAAAGAAGAAGAAGAAAAAAAGAAAATGTCACTTATAGTTCAGGAAAGCAAGTTTTCCTGGAGTCGGTTCATATCATCAGAGCATGTCATATTTTGAACTGGTGAATGTTCAAGTATCAGGAAACAATAATCAGGAAACAATCATCAGTATGAATATAATCATTTGTAGACTGAAAGCATCAATGACCATGATAATATTAAAGCAATAATAGCAGAACTTAATATGTGTTGCCTAGTATTCCTCATTGAATTAAATCCTTTTTTATAGATTAAGTGCTTTATTTGTCTCAACAATATTTACTAATTTTCTATTTTTACCCACTTTTTGTAAGGCAGTTACTTGGTATAGTGTGGGTAAAAATAAGTTACTTGTCTGCAAATCCCACATGGAATCAATGCTTGAGGAAGTGCTCAAACATAGATAGTACTGACAGGATAAATACAACTAGCTTTTGTGTCCAAGACTGCCATTAAAGTTTTATTTTTAACTGAACATATCAGAATTTCACTGTACCTTGATCAGAACTCACCTTTGGTGGTAGTTAGTAAAACTTTCCACTCTTTTTCAGTTGGTAACTCTCAAATTCAGTTCAGGATTTACTGCTAGTGTCAGAAACTTTCAAAAGTCTTCACAGCTCAGCCAAACACCACAGCTCTGGGCTCCAGAGAAGATTGAGCTTGGTTCTTGCTGGATGCTTTATATTCTCCAGTGACCACACCCACTGCTTTCAGGTGATAGGGTTATCAACTCCATGAAAAGGTATAGGTGCACATGATTAGATTTTGTGAGTTGGAAACACATCAGGATGCCAATGATTGAATTTAAACGTTTGAAACCTACTTAATCCAATTTCCACAATTCAACCTCTGAGAAAAGTCTCACCATGAATTTACCTTTGCAATTCATGAAGTTTTTGTTTTGGAATAAACTATCCAAATACAAATTTCACATCTCCATTTACTGAACTATATTATAGTTTTAATAGCACCTACCCATCTAGACCTATCACCCACTAGATTTACTTGCCTTTCTGAATTTGCCTGCATTCATTCAGTGATATTTCTTCAGAATGAGGAGTCACTCACATTCTATTTTTCAATCCGGGTACTCAAGCTCCCCCAAAATACCACATACTGCTCTGGCCAAGATAGCCAGAAGTTGTTGTCTGGAAATAACTGAACTCTCCAGGATTGAATTTCATATCTTCATTTTGCAAACTATTTGATAGCCCTAATCCTAATTGCAGCAACCAATAATCTCACCAGTAACAAGTGAGAATGTGTGCCTACTAAGTCTCTTCAGTTGTGTCAGATGCTTTGCCACTCCATGGACTGTATCCCACCAGACTCTTCTGTCTGTGGGATTCTCTAGGCAAGAATACTGGAGTGGATTGCCATGCCTTCCTCCAGGGGATCTTCCCAATCAAAGGATGGAATCCTCAGCTCTTATGTGTCCTGAATCTGCAGGTTCTTTACCACTAGCGCCACCTGGGAAGCCCACAAGTGAGAAGAGGGACTGTGATTTTCCTTCTAGGAGCAGCAGTGACTCAGCTTGTTCCATCACAGCAAGTCCACTTGTTCTCTAAAATGCAGTGATCTTTGCCTTACCTGACATGGAATAGGGGAAGGGAATGAAGTTCAATGAGTTCAAAATTGAAATGATGCCTGAGAAAAATAGGAAAGTTTAAATTGGATATAATTTGTATTTTGAAAACACAATATGGTAAGATTTTATATTTGCAAAGGTGCCATTGCTGGTTTTTAATTTTCTCTGTATTATAACTGAATCTTTTATTCATTGCACAAAGAATATTTATTATTTGTAAAATCAGGAAGAATTGACAAAAAAGATTAAAATTGTCTGAGACTGAATAATTGTAAGGATCATATGTGGAATCTAAATATTAGATCAATATCAAGTAACTGAAAGGCAAGAGATATGTGAACACGGTTATCCGGAACATCCTTTTTGAAGTTTTCTGTATTCACTGATGATTGCTATCAAATTTTTGGACCTTTGAAAATGTAACAGGTAGAGAAAACCCCGCAATAAATATCCACATGATAGCAAAGTGCCATCTACATGCTCCATGCATTTAACAAAAGGGACACAAGAAAAACTTTCTACTAAAAGAAAAAATAGTGTTTTGGGTGAGTCCTGAAATAAAGGATCAAGATTACAGAGCATGTGCGTGCTCAGCTGTGTCTGTGACTCCATGGACTATAGTCTGCCAGGCTCCTCTGTCCATGGGGTTTCCAGGTAAGAATACTGGAGCAGGTTGCCATGTCCTTTTCCAGGGGATCTTCTCCACCCAGGAGTCAAACCCGATCTCCTGTGTCAGCTGCATTGGCAGGCATTTTTTTTTTTTTGCCACTGAGCCTCCTGGGAAGCCCAAAAGTATCAAGAGGCTGACATTAAATCAGACTTCACAGTTTATAATATTCCTCTCTTGCTTTTGTTTTACTTTCTCTATGTGATTGGAGGTGTTTCTATATGCTGTAGAGATATTAATAACTTGTATTCTTCCTAGAGAAGTCAGTCTGAGCTCTCTGCAGTTTATGCTCTGTCTTTCCTTGGAGAAGGGAAACTGAACTAACTTACTGAATAGAGAGACTTTTTCTCTGAGGATATGGAAATGCCATTAACTGACCTGATTTTTCTCTTTCTCCCTTGGATAAAATTTTCAGTCAGAAAATTACCATTCACAACGTGAGCCTTTCAGAGGATGATACAAGTGTGATGTTTTGAAATCACCATTACTGAATGTTTCTTTTAAAAAATAAACATCTAGCAAAAAAATCTAAGTGTCGCTACAGAAAAATATTGAATCAAAAATAGTGTATAAAGGCTTCAGCTTCCCAGTTGGAACTCCTGCAGCCCAGAATTCCGCGGCCACCGCAGCGGGCGGGAGAGCAGAGAGCGGTCCTCAGGCCCCTCTGACCTGCGGGGCTAGAGACAAGCAGCCCCAACCCCAACTCAGGGCCAAGGCTTCCCCCTGGAGACGGGCGTTTGGAGTCCTGGGGAGACCTTAGACTCTGTCCTTTCTCTGGCATCACCGCTGATGGAGCCGCCTCCTCCCACAGAGACCTGCCTTCCCCGAGAGCAGCGTGTCTTTCAGGAGAACCGGGTCTGCCGGGGTCCGAGCCCGGGCGGTCCTGGCGGTCAGTGCGCTCCGGCCCCGCCGCTGAGGGGCCAGCCCGAGGGGGGCGCGGGGCTGGAGGCGCTGGGACGCCCGCTCCAGGGGCTCTGGGAGGGACGCCAAGTCCGCACGGCCGCAGGGCTCAGAGCCCGTGTTTCTGGGAAGGATCTTGGCTTCTGTCCGCCCAGGAGTCTGCAGGCCCAGTAGGGAGTCAGGAGGACGTGCGTGGCGATGGGAGAACGGCCGTATTCCTGGATCTTAAATGGGTTGCTCCAGGGAACCCCAGCATCTTTTGTCTGCAAGTGCCTGACGGGGCCCCGGAATCCGTGCCGTCCTGAGGATACTGTGTCCCGATGGACGTGGCCCGAGTGTCAGACAAGAACTCAGATCCGCGGGCACCATGTGCAGGCCTTGGCGAGAGTCACTGCTGCAAAGAGGGGTGCTGGACCACTGAGCCGGAGGGGGTTCGTGGGGATTCCGGGGTGCAGCCTCATCGGGCTCTCAGGAGCTCCGCTGGCGCCTGAACCCTGCAGGTTCCCCGGCATTGCACCTGCCACCCGCCGAATCTTCCTGTGTGAGGACCCGATTATGGCTCTCTATCCAGGGTGAACTCAGGGGAGAAGCGACTGAGTCAGAAAAAGAGAGATAAGTATCATGTGATAGTGACCATATGTGGAATCTAAAATAATAGTACAAATGAGATTATTTACAAAAGAAAAACACAGATGCAGAAAGCAAGCTTAAGGTACTAGGCGCTAAGAAACAGGGTGGAGGGTGGGAGGGATAAAGTGGAGATCTGGATGATCATACACCCATGCCTATGCATAAAGCTGTAATAAATAAGGGTCTGCTGTGTAGCATGGGAAATTCTATTCTATACTCTGTAATGACCTGTATGGGAAAAAAATCTTTTAAAAAACAGTGGATACATGTATTTATATAATTGATTCACCAGGCTGTACTAGAGAAACTAACACAACCTTGAAAATCAAGGATATTCCAATGAAAATTGAAAAATAAAT